TCGTTCGACTTCCTGCTCTCAACGACAAATATCGGGGCGAGCTCTCTCGTCCTCCCATCCCGCATGACGCCAAATGTCCGAGGTAGCGATCCTGGCTCTTCTGCATCTGATCCCGGGTCAATCCTACGAATCTCCCTTGCTGATTCTACTTCGGCATGTTCTCAAGACCGTATCAAGGAGATCTGAGATCTCTATGCCCCTGGGGGTCGCTTTCCCAATGCAAGGTTTATGCGGGGTGCACGGAGGACGCCCGTCCAGACGCCATGGTGGAGACCTTGAGCTAACTCCCCCAAAGGGGAGGCTTCGTCCTGGTCTTCGTGCTGGAGGCATCTTACCGGATCTCCAGTGGTGAGGGCGATATGGTCTCCCAGTCCTTCTCCCGTCCGCCTCGGACTCACCTCTTCAGAATCTGGCTCCTCCTCCAGCAGCGGGGCTTTGAGGGAGGTTGATGCCCATGAGTACTTGGTGACCGTTGAGAGGCGTCGGGCTCGTCGAAGGTGATGAGTGCCACTTTGGAGTTGGAGCCAATATTCGTGCCTACTCGTCCGACCGCTTTCTCGACCCGCGAGCTCACCGGATGGCGGCTGACTGCCTCAGAGCTCACGCGCTCACTAGATGCGGTAAGCTACTTCTTTTAGGGCTTTTCCTTTTTTGCTTCTTAGTTTTTTGTCTCTTACTTGCTGCTTCGCTTTTGGTAGAGCCAAGCTTGAGAAGCTGAAACACGAGCTCCACGCGGTCAAGCATCGGGAACAAGGCCTTGCTAATAGGACTAGCGAGCTTCAGGTCGAACTCCTAGTGACCCGGGAGCAACTTGCTGATTCCCAGACTTCCGCTCGAGGAGAAGATCTAAGCACGGAGATGGAGCGCCTGTCCTTGGCACTGACGGATAGTCAGCGGGATCCGAAGGTTCGCAACTCGGAAGTGCAGACGCTCCGCCAAACCCTCATGGTTTACCGAGGGTTCGCTTCCAGAGCCGAAAAAGATCTTGCGCTGATGGCGGCTGAGACTTTCACGAACAGCCAGACTACGATCTGCATGCTCAGGCAGGAGCTCGAGGAGGAATCTCGACGGAGTGGGCTGCAGGGGCGGAACGCTTCAGGGGCATTAGGAGATGCTGGAGGCGCGGGCCCTTCTTCACCGGCGAGATCTTCACGTCCGCCGGGGTTTTAACTTAGATTGTCTTTTCTATCGGGGGCATTTTTTGGCCTCTGTTTGTTTTTCTTTTATTGTACTTCAATTTCCTCCATATATTTTCATCTTTTACGCGCTTCTTTCGCACTCTTCTGCTTTGTTTTAGTGGGCCTGATTTATCGACTTTGGGGCCAATACGCGTGATGGTCTCGAAGCCTTGAGTTTGTTGAGTAGAACCGTGGCTTGCGGGCCTTCTACATGTTTCGCATAATTGGCCCGTGTCGACAGCTTCCTTCGTGAAATGCTCACCGATGATCCCTCCCCTCCTTCTAGCGCCAACCGTTCGGGAGCAAATTTCGGGATGCCACGTGGGGGTGTGTGATTTGTCCGGGAGGTGGAGCTGTGCCTCCGAGTTTCGTCCTCTGGGGGGGAAAGGCGACAAGTCATTCTGGGGTGGAAGCCTGCTCGAGTCCTGATAACAGGGTGGTCATCGTATACGATCCTGCAAACACTACACATTAGGTCAATCGGGCCTTCAGGAAGACCGAAAAGAGGTTTTCCTCCCAAAGGTTCTCCGACGCCCATGTCAATGAACGTCCTACTAGGAACAAGTACTCAGAAGGGTGTTTCTACGAGTTTGGGGTGAGAAGTCTCCCCCGGTGTGAGAAGTCTCCCCCGGTGTGAGAAGTCTCCTCCGTTCAAATTACAAGTGTTTTATGAGACAAAACATTTTTAAAATTAGACATATACAATTTCTTATAAAAAGAACTATAAAGACAAATAGAAAAATATAATTTGAATAACTTTATGTAATTTTTGTAGCATTTACAAAGACGAATATACTTTTGCTACAAAAATTTGATCTAAACTATATCTTGACATGATAAAGAGCAAGCTTAATTAGATTTTAGTATATTCAAAACTCGTGTATTTCAAAGATATTTAATATTGAAAGATTGATCGATTTTTATTTGTAGGTTTTGTTTCAAAACAGAAGTATAAATACTTGAACTCATTTTAATTGATGTTCTAGCTAACAATACATGGATTAACCAAATTAATTCACATTTACAAATATTATTTAAAATATAAATTGAAATATTAAATAAAATAAAAATAGAAGGCAAATACTAAAAAAAAAATGAACGTATTCTCTGTGAACTCAGATAGTAAAGAATAAGTAAAGAAAATAATTAATGATTTGACTTAAAAATTGTTAGCCATTGGTATAAAATTTTTGAACTTCTTTGGGTAAAGTATTTTTTAATTAAGAATAGATTAAAATAAATTAAAATTTTAATAGATATAAGAGAAAATTAAATAAATTGGGACGAAAAATACTTGATCATTAATATAAATAGAACAAAGTGAGTATATAATACTTTAGTAAGATATTTTACAAATTTAAATTAAATATTTCTATGTAAGTAATTATTTTTCTCGAGAACCTTATATGTAAATTCTAAATTTTTGTTTTATTTCAGAATTAATATAATGTTACAATCTATAAATCATCAAAATATTTTAAAATCAATTATGTTTATGTGATTTATTTATTACTAATTCAAATTGTTATCAGTTATAAATTTTAAAAAAGAAAACAAAAATAATTTTAAATACATGAAAAAATTGAATACAATTTCCTATTTAAATGAATTATTTTTTTAATTTTTTTAAAAAAACAAATAGGTTAATAAAAGTAGACAATACATATCATAAATATTTATTTTATGATAAATTTATAATATAAAACACATATTAGTCAAAATTTTAAAAATAATCATAATGTTTTTGAAAAATTAACTATAGAAAAACACTAATAATTTTCTTTATAAGCAAATATCATTTAAAAATTAAGTAATCAAAAAATTATAAGTAATGTAAAAATTATTTAATCAAAAAATATATTAAAAATTATAAGTAATCAAAAAATTAAGTAATGTAAAAATTAAGTAATCAAATAATTTCCTATCAAATTTTAAGTAATGTAAAAATTATTTAATCAGAATATATATTAAATCATTTATTATACATACTCGTGCTCTAGTATTGTTATATAATTAGAGGAGCTTCTTTCTATTTTGAGTGTCTACATCAACTTTTTTTTTTAATTTTAAATGGGCTTCTACATATCTTGATATTATTAATGGTTTTTACATATGTTAAGTATGCATTTTCTGGGCTTTCATACATTAATTTAAAATTAAAAATATATATTTATTTTACAAACAAATCAACAATTTTAAATGTAATTTTGATAGCTAAGTAAAGTTTGTCAGCAATTTTAAAAAATCAGGATATAATCATTGTTGTGAAACTTACCAAAAAAAAAGGAATTATTTAGGAACTAAAATAAGATTTAATATTAAGAAGATGATAAATTATATCCGGAACCGGTGAATTCACTAAAAGGAGTATAAATGCATGATGCAATGTCTATCAATATGGTAATTTATCAGTCAGTAATTGTTTTTTTCTTTCTAAGGAACTGAAAAACACAATCACAAATTTATGTTAGTTTGGAATATTGTATTTCTTAAAAATTCCAATTTGGAATATTATGAAAACAATTTAGTTTTATTATGATAACATATATAATGTAAAAATATTTTGGTAATAGATTAAAATTATAAAAAGAGATTAACTGGTCAATTTAATTATTTATAGCAAGTTAATAATTAATTTCACTTATCTGGTTAAATTAACAATTATTTTAATTTACTAATGTAACTAATCTTGGTATTATTGAATATTAAAAAACAATTCTAGCTTGATAAACTAGTATTAAAGATAAATTTGGGTTTATGCAGTTACTGGAGAAGAGAAATCTTATAAATATTTGATTTTAAACATTAATATTTAATAATTATTTACAATTTTTTTGATGCAAATATTCTAGCTTTGATATTAAATATATTAATACATAGATGTTTCTAAAATATGTCTATTCCAATAATATTTTAAAAATTTTATATTTCAAAAAGTTTCATTTCTGCGAATCTATTTTTCTCTACATAGAATTCAAATCAAAATATAAATTAAATTTATTATTGATTAACTTGACATGTATTGTGATTATGTTAATAATTTTGAAACGGAATTGTTTTTAGGAATTTGGTTCCTAATCGAATTAACTTATAATATATTAATACATATCTGTTAACTTTGGTATGTGATAACATATAAAATTTGAGAGGATAATATTCAGGAATTTGAAAACTATTCTATATTATCTTCTAATTTTTTTCTTTGTATTTTTGACTATACATTCATTTCTTTTTCTTTTCTTTCAACACATTGATTCTTTCAATTTTTTAACATACAATTTTGGAAACATATTAACCAAAAAAATAAGAGACCAAAATATGTACATTAACCACAAATAACCTTTTGTTGTATTTTCTTTTCTGGTAAATATAATTTATTTTCTATGACCTTCAAATTCTAAGCACGACTCTCCATATAAGACGGAGATTTCTATACTGATTTTTTATCAGTTAGCACATATTATCACAAAATTCTAAATGCATATCTGGCAGATAATCCATTGGATACAATGTAACTGTTGCTAAAGGATAACAAAAAGGTCAATACAAATCTGAAATCTTTGTCACTCACTCTCTATCAGATATTAATGAAAGAGGTAATCCTTAATGCATATCTCGCAGATAGTCTCTTAGTTACAATGTAACCTTTGCTAAAGGATAACAAAAAAGTCAATACAAATCTAAAATTCCTGTCACTCTCTCTATCAAATATTAATGAAAGAGGTAATCATTATGATAACAGTTGTATATTTTCTTGGTCAATAATTCTAAATACGGCTGTACATATTTAGGTGGAGAATTTTCAATATTGGTAATCACAGATAATTCCTTAGTAGATAACAAAAAAGTCTATATAAGTCTCGACTCTTTTTGTCTCTCTTTGTGTCATAAACATAGACAAAAAGTAGATATGTCAACACTCAAGAACACTACTCCGGTTGAAGGTGTTTCCCCATCCTTCATCATTCGAGCTTCCATCATCCAAGCCTCCACCGTCTATAACAATACTTCCAAAACTATTCGTACTTTCTTTTTTTTCCTCTAACATTTTTTGAATCAATCAAACTCTTTGGTAAATAAATCAAAATTTAATCAAATGGTTTACTTGAATTTGCAGAAAAGGCAGAGAAGCTGATTGCCGAGGCGACCAGCGGCGGCTCGGAGCTGGTGGTGTTCCCAGAGGCGTTTATCTGTGGCTATCCTCGTGGCTTTAGGTACGGTATGGGGGTTGGTGTTTTTAATGAAGATGGTCGTGATGGGTTCAGAAAGTATCATGCTTCTGCCATTCTTGTTCCTGGTAATAAAACTCTAATCTTTGCATGCTCTTTCTTTCCTCCTTCAACTCTGTTTTCATAACAACATATCATGCATGTGTAATAATTATCCAGAAAATGATTTTTTCTACACTTAACTTTAAAGTTAATTCAGTTTAAATCCAACTTCCCCTGTTATATTTGATTAATAATGAAAAACTGTGATCTTATATATTTTGTACGAAAAAATAGTTCCATCTTTTTCCTAGTGCATATATTGTTTCCTAGTGAGTATCTCTAGCTTATGTTTTTGTTTATTGATCAATTATTATTGATTAGTATATATCAGCTTGTATTAAGTAAATATATATATAATATCACTAACAATTGAGTTTTATCTATTTCCTCCGTTTTTTATATAAGATATTTAAGGTTTTGCACATAAATTAAGAAGTTATTTAATTTTTCTTTTCCAAAATAAAACACCAATTCTAATTCGACCAACAGAAAAATAATATGCAGGATTTAAATAATTTAAACAATTATTTTTTGCATTGATTTCTGAAAATATCATTTAATTTTGAACAAAAAAAACTTCTAAAACATCTTATAAACAAAAACTAAAGGAGTATTAAACTTAACTTTGGGAAAAAACTGGTTTGTTTTCTGGGTCATCTGTTATGAAAGTTTTAGATTGAAATGGAACTAGTATCTGTGATTTTGAATACAAATATAATTAACTTTCATTTGCAAAAGAAGGAAAATGACTCTTTCTTGCATATTTATCTGGCTTTTACAGGCCCTGAAGTTGAAAAACTGGCGGAGATTGCTAGAAAATTCAATGTGTACTTGGTGATGGGGGCTATAGAGAAGGATGGATATACACTCTACTGAACAGCCCTTTTCTTCAGTTCGGAAGGTCGGTTCTTGGGGAAGCACCGTAAAGTCATGCCAACAACTACCGAACGTTGCATTTGGGGTTACGGGGATGGATCAACCATCCTTGTTTATGACACTCCCTTAGGCAAACTCGGTGCTGCTATTTGCTGGGGAAATAGGATGCCTCTCTACAGAACTGCGTTGTACGCAAAAGGTTAGTCATGAGTTCAAAACTATTTAAAATATTCTAGCTCCAAACTAGTTTGATATTAACTTTTGTTTTCAAGATGATATTTGATTTTTCTTATCCATCTAAAACTTTGAATCCCTCTTTAAAATCGTCAACATATCTTATTCGAAAGAGTATATGTTTTGATATCATATCAATATATTCATGAATTTTCATTTCTTAAGATTAATTTTTCATGAGTGGAACTGACTCCTTTGTACCATATATATTGTCATGCTCCTAACAATTTCGATTTTTGGTTGTACTAGGAGTTGAGATTTATTGTGCACCTACTGCTGATGGTTCGAAAGAATGGCAATCCTCTATGCTTCATATTGCACTCGAGGGTAGTTGTTTCGTGTTGCCGGCCTGCCAGTTTTGCCGGCGTAAAGATTTCCCTGAACATCCTGATTACTTATTTACCGACTCGTACGATGATCAAGAACCTGATTCTATTATCTCCCAAGGTGGTAGTATCATTATTTCACCATTGGGAAAGGTTCTCGCTGGACCAAACTTTGAATCAGAAGGTATCATCACAGCAGATCTTGGTATACATACTTTTCTTTGATATTCATCTTAGGTTTTAGTTGAGAAAATGATAATATGTTTACCTAATCAATTCGAAAAAACAAATTTCTCATTCAGATCTTGGTGATGTCGCAAGAGCCAAGTTATACTTCGATGTCGTGGGACATTACTCTAAGCCTCAGGTTTTTAACTTGACAGTAAATGAACACTCAAAAAAACCGGTTACATTTGTGTCAAGGTCGGTGAGAGTGGAGGATGACTCACAGCCTCAAGGCAAATAATCAAGATCTAAAGGTCGTCAATTTATCCTTTCCATAAGTGCTGGAGTTAATGCCAATCATATGTTGATGTCATGTTCAACATTATTCTGTTAAGCTTGTTTATGTTTATGTTTAATAATGTAAGAACCAGTTGGGTAAAACCAATTAGTTTATTCTCTTTTCTTTAAGTATCATGGAATCTATTTGAAGTTTTATACACCTTCATTATAAGTTTTCTTTTGCTAACAAAATATTATTATGAAGTTTAGTCAATCGCGATTCTGCCGAAAAAAACATATAGGGCCTGTTCGTTTGCTTGCCGCATGAACCATGTTCGTTTATGATTCTTGTGTGTTTGGAAAAGCTCGCAAACTGCCCGGGAACAGTAAGTGGGAGTGGTTCGGCCGAGCTAGCATGACATGTGTCAGCATCTAAGGTAGTTCAGTGTCCACGTGTCGGGTCTTCTTTGGATTTGATAAAATTGGTACCAACAGGAGCTAAAGATGATGAAAAAGATTATTTTCTTTGGTTATAAGAATTAAAATATTATTGTATATTTTCATGTCAATATTATGTTTATTAAATATAATTAGATTATTATTTTTTACACTTTTAGGTGGTTTTTTTTATATATAAAGTTATTAGTATATAAAATTAAAAGTGTTTTATGAGATAAAACATTTTTAAAATTAGACATATACAATTTCTTATAAAAAGAACTATAAAGACAAATAGAAAAATATAATTTCAACAACTTTATGTAATTTTTGTAGCATTTACAAAGACGAATATACTTTTGTTACAAAAATTTGATCTAAACTATATCTTGACATAATAAAACGCAAGCTTCATTAGATTTTGCTATAATCAAAACTCTTGTATTTCAACGATATTTAAGATTAAAAGATTGATTGATTTTTATTTGTTGGTTTTGTTTCAAAAGAGAAGTATAAATACTTGAACTCATTTTAATTGATGTTCTAGCTAACAATACATGGATTAACAAAATTAATTCACATTTACAAATATTATTTAAAATATAAATTGAAATATTAAATAGAATAAAAATAGAAGGCAAATACTCAAAAAAATGAATGTATTCTCTGTGAACTCAAATAGTAAAGAATAAGTAAAGAAACTAATTAATTATTTGACTTAAAAATTGTTAGCCATTAGTAAAATACTTTTGAACTTCTTTGGCTAAAATATTTTTTAATTAAGTACAGATAAAAATAAATTAAAGATTTTAATAGATATAAAGGAAAATCAAATAAATTAGGACGAAAAATCATTGATCATTAATTAAAATAAAACAAAGTGAGTATATAGTACTTTAGTAAGACATTTTACAAATTTAAATTAAATATTTCTATGTAAGAGGTAATTTTTCTTGAGAACCTCATATGTAAATTCTAAATTTTTGTTTTATTTCAGAATTAATATATTGTTACAATCTATAAATCATCAAAAATATTTTTAAATCAGTTATTTTTATGTGATTTATTTATTAGTAATTCAAATTGTTACCAGTAATAAAATTTAAAAAGAAAACCAAAATAATTTTAAATACATGAAAAAAATTGATTACCATTTCTTATTTAAATTGTTTAATTATTTTATTTTTTTTATAAAACAAATAGGTTAATAAAAATAGACAATACATATCATAAATAGTTATTTTATGATAAATTCATAATACAAAACACATATTAGTCTAAATTTTAAAAATAATCAGTTTTTTTTAAAAAAAATAACTATAAAAAACACTAAATAATTTTTTTAAAACCAAATATTATGTAAAAAAAATTCCTATCGAATTTTAAGTAATGTAATAATTATTTAATCAAAATATATATTAAATCTTTTATAATATATACTCGCTCTCTAGTATTGTTATATAATTATAGGAGTTTCTTTCTATTTTGAGTGTCTACATCAATTTTTTTTAAATTTTAAATGGACTTCTACATATTTTGATATTATTAATGGGTTTTTACATATGTTGAGTATGCATTTTCTGGGCTTTCATACAATAATTTAAAATTAATAAATATTTATTTTACAAACCATAAAAGATACTAATTTTTTAATCAAAAATTTAAAATGTAATTTCGATAGCTAAGTAAAGTTTGCCTGCAATTTCAAAAATTCAGGATATAATCATTGTTGTGAAACTAACCAAAACAAAAAAAAAGCAATTATTTAGGAACTAATATAAGATTTAATATTAAGAAGATGATAGATTATATCCAGAACCAGCCCAAAGCCAAGAGAAAACCCGCTAAAACCGGTGAAATCACTAAAAATAGTATAAATTATTTTTATTATGAAAACATATATAATGTAAACTTTTTTTGGTAATAGATTAAAAATTATGAAAAGAGATTAACTGATCAATTTAATTATTTATAGTAAGTTAATAATTAATTTCATTTATCAGGTTAAATTAACAATTATTTTAATTAACTAATGTAACTAATCTTGGTATTATTGAATATCAAATTCTTTTTCTAGCTTGATAAACTAATATTAAAGATAAATTTGGGTTTATGCAGTTAATGAAAAAGAGAAATCGTATAAATTTTTGATTTAAAACGTTAATATTTAATAATTATTTACAAGATTTTTTTTTTGATGCAAATATTCTAGCTTTGATATCATTTAGATATATTAAATATTTTAATACATATATGTTTCTAAAATATGTCTATTCCAATAATATTTTAAAATAACATTTTTATATTTCAAAACGTTTCATTTCTGCGAATCTATTTTCTCTACATAGAATTCAAATCAAAATATAAATTAAATTTATTATTGATTAACTTGACATGTATTGTGATTATGTTAATAATTTTGAAACAGAAAATTATATAGGAGTTTGTTTCCTAATCAAATTAACTTATGATATCCTCTACCTATTAATTGAGAATGTAGTTTAATGAAAAATGTTGATTTGTTTTAATTTGATTGGTTAATATGTTTAGTTTGAGCAATTTTAATGTGACATGGAAATGATGATGTGTAATGATGATGTAATTGTGCATGTCAATTTTTAGTACACATGGCTTGTGACATGACATTATTTAATCTATAAATAAAATTTGATGTTAAAATTTTGATACAAAATTAAAGTATTCAATTTTTTGACAAAAGTTTGGAAAAATTATATTTTGTCAAAGAGATTTGAAATTACATTCGACACAAAAATTTTGCCAGCAAAAATTTTACGGATTTCAAGTATTTAGCGGAAAATTTGTGACAACCTATTTAGCCCGAAATTTTTTGATATCAAATTTTTAACATGAAATTTACGGATTCATAATATTTGGCAAAAACTCACAAAATCAAATTAAAATACTCTAAAATAAATATTTTGGTGGGAAAGTTACAAATTCATTTTTTGGCAGAAAATTTCTGAACTCGGGTTTTCATAGAAGTTTTTTGAAATTATATTTTTAAATAAGTTTTTTTGACGGAAGATTTACGGTTTCACTTATATAACGGGAAATTCATGAATTCAAAATTTTGACAGGTATTTTTTAGAATCACATTTTTGATGTAAGTTTTTGGCAACACTTGGGAAATTCACAAAATCAAAATTTTGATAAAATGTTTTTGGATCATCTTTTTGATGTAATTCTTTTGGTGCGAAAGTTACTTATTCATGTTTTTGGCATAAAATTTGTGAAATCGTTTTTTATGGAAATTTTAGAAATCTTATTTTAAGTAAGTTTTTAGCGAAATATTTACAAGTTCATTTGTTTGTGTGAAATTTTGCGGCGTCAGATTTTCAGAAGAAGAATTTGTTTCATTTTTATTATCATCTTACTTTGCCTCACTATAAATAAAGATCAAAAGTTTATAATATATTTGAATGTATTTCAATTATATAGTGAGAATTACGAACCAGAAATATGACGTAAAATGATGGAATGAGGTAACAAAAACTAAAAAAAGATAAAAAATATTAATAAAAATTAGAAAACAAAGAATAAAGAAGAATAATTTTATTTTATTTTACAGTTTTAAAAAAATATATTTTAAGTTTTGTGTATGTTTTATTTTTTACCATATACAATTTTTCAAATTTATTAAAACATTATTTCACAAACAAAATTTCTTACAAATAAATTATTAAAACATGCCAATCATTTATTTATTATTAATGATATATATTATTGATAATTAATTTTTTATAAAAATTTTATGCCCGCACTACCTAGTATTAATACATATCTGTTAACTTTGGCATGTGATAACATATAAAATTTGAGAGGATAATATTCAGGAATTTGAAAACTAATCTATATTATCTTCTGATTTTTTTTCTTTGTATTTTTGACTATACATTCATTTCTTTTTCTTTCCTTTTAACACATTGATTCTTTCAATTTTTTAACATACAATTTTGGAAACACATTAACCAAAAGAAATAAGAGACCAAAATTTGGACATTAACCAAAAATAACCTATTGTTATATTTTTTCTGGTAAATATAATTTATTTTCTATCGCCTTCAAATTCTAAGCACGACTCTTCATATAAGACAGAGATTTCTATACTGATTTCTTATCAGTTATCACATATTATCACAAAATCCTAAATGCATATCTGGCAGATAATCCATTGGTTACAATGTAACTGTTGTTAAAAGATAACAGACAGGTCAATACAAATCTGAAATCTCTGTCACTCTCTCTCTCTATCAAATATTAATGAAAGAGGTAATCCTAAATGCATATCTGGCAGATAATCCATTGGTTACAATGTAATCGTTGCTAAAGGATAGCAAAAAGTCAATACAAATCTGAAATTCCTGTCACTCTCTCTATCAAATATTAATGAAAGAGGTAATCATTATGATAATAGTTGTATATCTTTTTGGTCAACAATTCTAAACACGGCTCTCCATATTAAGGTGGAGAATTTTCTATATTAGTAATCACAGTTAATTCTTTAGTGGTAAAAGATAATAAAAAAGTCTATATAAGTCTCGACTCTTTTTGTCTCTCTTTGTGTCATAAACATAAACAAAAAAGTAGATATGTCAACACTCAAGAACACTACTCCGGTTGACGGTGTTTCCCTATCCTCCATCATTCGAGCTTCCATCATCCAAGCCTCCACCGTCTATAACGATACTCCCAAAACTATTGGTACTTTATTTCTTTCCTCTAACAATTTTTGAATCAATCAAAATCTTTGGTAAAGAAATCAAAATTTAATCAAATGGTTTACTTGAATTTGCAGAAAAGGCAGAGAAGCTGATTGCCGAGGCAGCCAGCGGCGGCTCGGAGCTGGTGGTGTTCCCAGAGGCGTTTATCGGTGGCTATCCTCGTGGCTTTAGGTTCGGTATGGGGGTTGGTGTTTTTAACGAAGATGGTCGTGATGAGTTCAGAAAGTATCATGCTTCTGCCATTCATGTTCCTGGTAAAGAAACTTCAATCTTTGCATGCTCTTTCTTTCCTCCTTCGACTCTGTTTTTAT